ATTTGCAATCAAGCTTTCCAAATGATAATTTGCTTTTAATTAAGAGTTTCCTTAATCGAAGGTATCTAACGAAGACCAGAAAACAAGTCTTCATTGTCTGTCCGTAATCAGTAATCAAAAGCAGTCAAATTATAATGATCTGCAAGCAAAGCTTTTCAGTGTTGATCGTCCGACGGCTATTTAGGGTAATTTCCTCTAATGAAGCAGAGTGAATCAATAAAACTATCAACAAATCAAAAAATACATAATGAATCTTGAAAAAAAAAGGAACAAGAAATTCTAAGAAAAACAGGAAAAAAAAACAATGTTAAAAAAATTATCGATGCCGCTAGTCGAACAGATATCGTTGCGGAACGGGAAATGAACTAGGCAAAGCGAGTTCAAATCCCATTACATTCACTTTCTAAAAAATACCTTATTCTACCCCTTCTAGATATGGTTTTTATAACAGGGTAGATTGGAGCACCTAGCCTTGGTTAGTAACTATTCTAAAAGAATATTAGTTTTGCTCTATTTTTGTTAGATAGTCCTGCAACCCTAACAGGTGCTAGCACTTCGTTCAGGAAGTGCCTGGGAACAACACAAATTAAGAAATGATTCCGCGTTCCTCAAAATCTCCATTCTCCCGATCAGAAGCCTTGTTGCTGGATGTAGTTTATCGTTATACCCAAGACTATCGAGGACACGTAATAAAAAAAAAGAAGGCGTGGAAAACTTGACACTCACAAAGTATGCTGAATGCAAGAAGGACAACTAGTAACCTACATAACTAACTTCTATAAATTCATAACAGAAAAGAGAATGAGAACAATAGTAAAAAGACAAACGTTGCTAAGATTTATAAAGGATAGGAAGCTGTGGAGAACCTTGAATGTGCAGGTGCGAAAAGAAACACAGCACCTAAAAGATTTAATTCCAAGTACCTGCTCAAGAGTTACGGAAACACGTTAAAATCCGCAGTGTAGTCTTCAGTAAAATAACCAAAAGACAAAATTTATTAAGAACTACAAAGCACTGGAAATTGTGGAGAGTCATGATCGTCTACGTCCTGAAGGGATACGGCACATAAAGAAGACTAGATTGGCGGTAACATCTCAATTTAGTGCTGAAATGGTTAGATGTAAACATGCTCTATGCTATAAAGAATTATCGTATTTAAAGGATTGTAAATGACCTGAAAAATTTTTCCATAATGTTCTTTAATAGATGGGTTTACGAATTTTATTTGTAAGATAACAATTGTTTGACTTTTGTAATCATTGACAAGTTAAGACATACCTATGAGGGAAAATATATTTTTGTTATATTTTTTGTAGAAAGTCCGTAAAAATTTTACAAATTCTAATTAATTAATCCTTATATTTACTGTTTTTCTTCGAAACATTTATCAGGAATTTTTTTCTTTTTAAAAGAATTTTAAATTGTTTTAATTTCTCTTTTGGTGGCATTTCGACAGTCTGAAGAGGAGGTCTTTGAGACTAGGACAACTAAGAAGAGTAAAGCGGTAGTTCAGACTATGGATGGAAAAGATCACTTCAGACATTCAAACCTGATGACAAGCTGACTAAAGCCGCAAACAAGTCTCTCTTCTTCAATTCATCTGGTACATCAAACAGGAATTGGCAGGATATCTAACTCGTCTCTTTAGGACAAGCGGAGCCACTGAATGGACTTAAGTTGACAAGAACCACCATGGCAATGTATACCGACCAGCTATTGCAATACCTTATTCAAATATGGCGACACACTGCCAAGAATAGGCATCTGTGGGATTGAAAGCAGGAGAGCATTTTCCTGTAAAAATTAGAAAAAAATCTGATGACAATGATTGTGATGATGATCTATCTGCAATGATTTTCTGCAATAACACCATTAGCAATGCATGCACGTTCTAAAATACATCTCACATAATTAGCGAATTTTAACGTTCCCGAATTGTTAGAAAATTAATCAAAGAGTTTCCTGAAATATGCACTTTTTTAATGAGCAAAATATTTCCGATTTTACATAAACATTAGATCATCCTTTTCAGTTGGGGTAACAGTTTTATGAATTTTTTTCCGCATTTATCACCTTTTACATTATTAGACATTCTTCTGAATCCTCAAATATAATTATGTTTTAATTACTAATAATAATTTCAGAATGTGCGAAATGCCTTTAAAATATAACTCTTATGAATATTTTTCATCAATTGATCCAAGTAAGGTAACAAAGGCACTAAGATGCAAGGGGTTACTGCGTGTGAAAGAATATAAGAAAAAAAAAACACTATTAAAGAGGAAGGATAATGAAAGAACAGGAATTAAGAAGAATGAAGATATTGGTTGACACTGCATTTAAATTTTTAAAGATCAAAGTTGACTAGAAAGCAAGAAGACCGAAAAGAGTTCTACAAACCAGAAAATAAACTGTTAGCATAGAACATATGGTTACATCTAGCCATTTCAGCACTAAATTGATGAGATGTTACCGCCAATCTAGTTTTCTTTATGTGACGTGTCTTTTCAGGAAGTAGATGATCATGACTCTCCACATTTTCCAGTCCTTTGTAGCTCTGAATAAAAGGTTCAGAGTGGTTTCTCTTTGCATCAACCTACCAGCTTCAGAATGGTTTCTCTTACCTTCAACCTATTAGCTTCAGAATGGTTTCTCTTACCTTCAAACTACCAGCTTCAGAATGGTTTCTCTTATCTTCAACCTACCAGCTTCAGAATGGTTTCTCTTACCTTCAACCTACCAGCTTCAGAATGGTTTCTCTTACCTTCAACCTACCAGCTTCAGAATGGTTTTTCTTACCTTCAACCTACCAGCTTCAGAATGGTTTCTCTTACCTTCAACCTATTAGCTTCAGAATGGTTTCTCTTACCTTCAACCTATTAGCTTCAGAATGGTTTCTCTTTGTTTTCACCTACTAGATAAACCAAATTTAATTATGTTTTCAAATAAAAACACTTTTAGAAGCTAATTCAATTTATTGTAATTAAATGCTTTTCTTTTATCCAATAGCCCATTAGAAAAAATATACCAAATGTTACATATGGTATGCTAGTAAAATCCAAATTACTAGATTGGTTATCTGGGCTTTTTAAATCATCTTATCAAATTATTCAGCATTCTAACCGGCACCAAATGAAAAAATACTTCGTAAACTCTTCACCATTAAGTGTTATGTTTCTCATTCAACAACTTGTAATTTATTCAACTTCTAAATTACATTCACATCAGTTCCTTTCCAAAAGGTGACCCGCTACAGATTTACTGACTTATAAAATCGCACTACCATCTCAATGGATTAGAAACGTTAAATTAAAAATTATTCACATTTTTATAATCCGATTACTTTTATAATATAAATTTTTTATAACAATATATAATAAGAATTATTCATGTCAATGTATATTTATAACGTAAAGTTATTTTGAACGGTGTCATTTTACAATATAATTGCCATAAACATATTATGCGTTATAATATTCACAATAAAGATAATACTAAACATTTTTGTTATAAAATTAAGGTATAAAACAATGTATTATATAGCAAAATAGGTTTATGCCAACGAAGTTTTATAATGAATAATTGTTTGGAATTACGAATTTTCATATTGACAAATATGAAAATTACGAATTTTTCATATTGTTCGTAATTAGTCATGATAATTCTTTAAAACAATAATATTTTATAATTATTTTTAATAATGAATGTAAATAACGAAATATATATAACAAGTTTTTTTTATGAGAACTTGTTTATAGCAAAAAAACTTTTATAATATCGTTTATCACAATAGTTTAGAAAATTGATTTTTTTTATTTTGAAAAACTATATAATAATTATTATAGGCTGTTTTATAACAATTCATTTTTTTAAAATCACACTGTTTATGACAAAGACTTGTGAAAATTTCCATAAGAAAAAACATTCCAACAATAAGTTTTATAAGGATAAGATTTTAATTATGAATCTGTTTAATGAGAAATTTTGTATAACAATGATTTTTTATAAAAAAATGTTCTGAACTGATAATGAAAGATCGGTCATGACAATTAATTTTATCATGAAAACATCATTTATGGAGAGAATTTATTATAATTATAAAGGTTCTTCAGTAAAAATTCATTCTTATAATTTCTCTCTATAAAAATTTATTTTTTCTAATAAATTCTATGGCCCAAAAATGTTTATCAAAATAAATTATATTTTTTCTGGAGAAAATTACGATTATAATGAGCAAAAACAATTTTTATAAAGAAAAAGTTTTATAACAATGAATTGAATCCTGAAGTCTTGTTTATAACAATGAAGATGAAGATAACAGTCCGAATAGTGTAAATAATGTAAGTAATCATAATACCTCATCTCAGAGATCCAATCACCTGAAGAAGGCCTGAGCGTACAACGGCCGAAACGTTGTGAATATGGCAATGAAGATGAGAGTTACAGTCCGAATAATGTAAATAATGTAAGTAATCATAATACCTCATCTCAAAGATAAACACAGATAATAATTTTTCTCATTGAATTTGTTCATGAGAAAGGAATTTTATAATAAAATTGTTCACAAAAATGAATATTTATAATAAAATTGTTTTTAATAATGAAATTTGTAATTGAAATATAGTAGCTGTTAATTTTATAATATAAAATTGTAATCATGGCATTTTATAATAAAATTTGTCTTATTATTATCTATGTAATTCTTTTAGTGTCTATCTAATTCTCGGTGCATCTATCTATCTATCTATCTATCTATCTATCTATCTATCTATCTATCTATCTATCTATCTGTTTCCTTGCTTGTATATTTATTTCCATCTGTTCAGCTCTATCTAATCTGTTATATTCTTCTTCTAACTGGTGCTCTCACTGTCTGCCTGTCACTCTCTCTCTTACACAAACATATACATCCAAGTACCGTCTTTCTCATCTGTTTTCACTCACAGATACCAAAAAAGAAAGATTAGTGAATGGAGAAGGTTACGTGTCACATTACAAATATGTTCTGTTTTCTCTCTCTCTTTCTCTCTCTCTCTCTCTCTCTATCTATCTATATATCTATCTACAATACTCTTTTGATTATCTATCTATCTATCTATCTATCTATCTATCTATCTATCTATCTATCTATCTGTCTGTTGTAATATAAAAATTGTAATAATGACATTTTATAATTTCTTTTATTACTTCAAACGTAATTTTTCGTGGACACCCGTATTTAAGTAGACGTTCGATTTATTATAAAAATTATTATACTTTATTTGTGTACTCGAGAAAACCTTAATAAAGATAATCTTGACAGAGGGCAGAATCACTTTATTAAGTTTCCTCGATTATGCAGGCCACTAGACGAAATAAATACTGTTTAAAATAAACTCAAATACGGTTATCCACTAAAAATACGTTTGAAATAATAAAAATATATAAATTATCAAACAATAAAATCCAGTAATTTAAAAATGTTCATAACAATGACTTTTTGTAACAAAACATATTTTTTAATCGGTATCCAAGGCAGTAAAGCCACTAAGACACAAGGGGTTACAGGCTGTGGAGAAATTAGAAACAAAAACATTAATAATGAGTGGGAAGAGAAAAGAGTAACCAGGGAGATAGTAAATAGCGATTGATATTACATTTAAATTTTTAATGATTAAAGTTGGCTGGAAAGCATGGAGTCGGAAGGGAGTTCCCCAAGAGAGAAGTGCGAGAAAAGAAACTGTCAGCATAGAACTTACGGTTGCATCTAGATAGTTAAACAGTAAATTGATGATATCAAGGCAGTAAACCGATTTTCCTGGCAAATGACCTAGCAATGGATAACAATGATATCTTTTCATAATTATTGTTTATAAGAAGGATTTGTTTATAAGAGAAATTGTTTAGAAGATTGATTTTTATAAAATTGTCTATGATACATTCATTTTTTTTGTATTATACTTTAATTTGTAAATATACCGTGTATACTCGTGTACCATGCAACTTTTGAAGATCTAAATTTGAAACTAATTTTAAGGGGGAGGTTGCATCATAGACAAGATATAAAATTAGAGTATGAGCCATCTTCACATACGCTAATTTTATATCTCGTGTATGATGCGACCCCTTAAAATTAGCTACAAAAAGAGGTCTTCAAAGTCTCATGACACGCATATATATATATATATATATATATATATATATATATATATATATATATATATATATATATATTACGTAAAAGAGAAGATTATTTACGGATGGATATGTCACAGTTTACAATTCTCAAAAGATTCTTCCTGGTCATCTACCGAAGATTAATTTGGCTCTTCTTCCATGAGACAAGTTCTTTCAAGACCTAGGCGATCATAGCTCTCCATCTTCCTTCTTTTATGTTTCTTTTTTAGTAATTGTCGACAATGTTTCCCATCCTCCTTTGTTCCTTTTTGCCATCCAAAGACGATTGGCCACCGTTTCCACCAGCTTCTGTTGCTTTCAGTATATCCTGTTAGTGTTTAATTCACTAGTCCTTCTTTCCTCGTTCCGTCTCCCCAAAATTTCAACTGTCACTCTCTAATTATATCGTATGCATTTCCTTCAGTAAGTTATGTGACATGCGTGATACACGCGTAAATGATCATGTATCTCTCGATACATGACTGACGAGGCAGATTTTTCCCCGCTGTAGGTTGCCATTTCTTTCTGCGGTAGACCAGTTGCCATCCAAAGCTATACAACACGGTCTATTCTGCTATTTATCCATAGCTGGTCGTGGTGGTGGGGGGGAAGAAGACGATTAATACCTTTCCCAATGGTATTTGCACGTAAGTGAACGTAATGGATTCGACTGGAATTCGAACTCAGCTCTCCGATTCCTGAATCCGAGCCTCTATCCATTAGTCCATTACTCTACCTTTCGGTTAAATAAATCCATTTCCTTACGGTTACTGTTTTTCTTAAGGTTTTCTTATTGCTCACCTGTCCATGATAGTTTGAGCATTTGTCTGTGAAACGATGTCTCTAGTGCTTCATGTCGCTTCTTTATCTGAGAGGTTGCTCTGCATTGACGGCCGTAGATCAGTAATTACGTAGGAGTTAAACACTATTTTCTAAAAAGAATTATTCTTAAAATCTAAAATAGCTTACAGTTTCAAGTAATTCACTTTGGTTGACAAACCGTCAAAAAACAAGTTAAAATCAAATTAATTCATTGTAGACGTTCGTTATTTTATAAAACATTTTTTCTTCATTATAACAAAAAGTTAGAGATAAAAAATATACAAGTAGACATGGTGTATTACATATATGTTTCAAAATCTTATCTTATCTTATCTATCTATCTATCTATCTATCTATCTATCTATCTATCTATCTATCTCAGTCTCTTCTCTCTATCTTTGTCAATCTGTTCATAGCTATCTATTTATATCACTTTGCTTCG